ACTCGTTACAACTCTTTTTGAGTTTTGAGCGCGCGGATTGCATCAATGCCACTTTCTGCGATTGATTTCCGAAGCTGCATCGAGCGAGGGATCCGCTGATTCCAATGACGCAAAAGTCTCGCGGCCCGGGTCGAACCTGAACCTTGGAACCTTGATCAGAGCAATAGAATCAACGAGAACGTTGAAAGATCTCAAGCGCAGCTGCTCGTTCCGGCCGTCCTGTTTGAGTTACCTAGAGTCCCGGAGGACATCGCCGTCGGGGCATGGGATCCCGTTCGAATATTTCTCGGATATCGCCTCGTCGAACTCAAGGTCTCCGGCCGCTCGAGTATCCTTTCCATCAATAGGAACTCCGCTCCTCTCCTCCTGGCATAATTCAATGACTCCACCACAGACGAGTCTGAGGCTGGAAAATGACGGGTTCGCCGAGGGTCGCAGCGGGAATCCCGGTTTCGGCTAAGATTGGATGGCACTATTTGTGACGCGTTGGTCACGTTTTTCTAGACTTTCTCGAATGTATGTACATAGTGGGTTAACTTGTACTCGTAAAATCGTTACCTCATCGACCGGCCAACCTCGAGTGAACTTAAGTGCAAGGATCAGGATGATTCCGTGCGGAGTCGGACTTTGCCATGCATGTATATCCAGGACCCACGCACAATCACACCGATATGATATTCATTTGGGCTCTGAAGCTCGGAGCACCCGTTGGAATTCACGCCCTCCAGAGCGGGGGCGTTGGATGTCATTCTTCATCGCTTGCGTCCTCAATTTTCTTCGTTCTCAGCAGTTTCGGGTCGACTCGCGATCGGGGACTTATCGCCCGGTGTTCGCGCAGCGAGAGCAGCTGATTCGGCGAGGACTCTCAGCTGTTAGCCCGGATGGGCCTCTTCGTTCGTCGAGCCTCTCGGAGGAGAAACTCGGAACGTCCTTATCGTGGCTGAGCTCTGGAATCTGTTTCCTCCCTGACGAGGATGGAGCTGCGATGACGTCGGACAAACTGCGCCGCGCCGTTTTCCCCACCGCTGGAGAGACCAGAGGCTTCATCGAGTTGTCACTCGCTCGCCGTGGCTCACAATGTTCCGCTCCCGCAAGAAGTCTCTCATTCCTCGGGACGAGAGGAGCACGAAAAAGCAGAACCGATGCTGGGGCGGCGACGATGAAAAATTGGAAAAAGCGGAGGATTCTCCCTGCCTCAAGAGAGGGGGGATATTCTCGGATGACGACGCTTCAGCGAGATAGCGAGAAGTAGTTAGGTGTCGGAGTTTATACTCACCGCAGGGAGCGAGGGGCGGGGTCCGGGAGAATTTTCCTGAGACGGGCCATGAAGAGTCGGAGTCAGCAAGTTATGATTAAGGCAAACTAGTGGAACACTTCAGTCAAGAATCTCAACGGACGGATTTTCTGATCAGCTTCCCGGACTCAGTCAGCTCTACACTGGAGGGCTCCTCGTTCTTCTTCCCGACCTCCGCTTCCCGATTTACGATTCGTCTTGAACGGGGCTCTCTCATGCGGTACGCTCTCTCATCATTCCTATACACTCCTCCTTCGCCGGTGCTTTCAATCGCTGCTCGCTCCAGATTTCCTCCAGGATCATTATTCTCAAGAGATCTCTCCCATCGCCCGACCTGGACCCGGTTTCTGTTTGCAGTTTTCGCTCATCCACGCCAAGTTCCGACTCGACTCGCCAATTTTATACGGACCGTCGCTGAAGTGTCCCATATACAAGTTCAACTTTTCCATCGTCGACTTGATCCAATCAAAGGTTTCCCGAGTTTATTTTGACCTTTCCGGGCACTTTTCCCTCTTCGATTGGGTCCTTCTTCGGTCCGCGATATCGGCGGTCCTCTTACTGCCGTCCTAACTTCCTCCTTTTGCCGTTATCTCTTCAATCGTTCGCCCTCGCGTTTGCTCGCGGGACGTTTGCCGAAGGCTTTTTTGCGAAACGGGTCCGACACCGATTCAAAACGACGAGAATTTGAGGGACCGAATCCTGTTTGAGATTTCGTCTTCGTCTCGAGGTTGTCTTTTCCCCTTTTCTGCATGCGAAACCGCGCTCAGTCAGCGAGGCGGATGATTCGGAGGCATCTTCGGTGGAAGAGGATTCCCGACCGCTCGAGGTGACCATGAAACCTTTGCTACTGGATCAGAAGTTTTTTCCAAACAGGACCACCCGGGGTTGTCTCGCGAAGTGTCCGTGATCTTCGATCGGAGTACATATTAGGGAGCGGACGCTAGGCTAGACCGATGAGATCTGCTCCACGCCGATCAGAGCAGATACTCGAGTACAGTGCGGACACGATTGTATTGGGCTTGATAACGGGTCCTCAGCAGACGAACGGTCTCGCCATGAGTTGGCAAGAGCCTAGACCCTAGACGCAGAGGGAGATTATCGATTCATCGATCCGGTGCGATTAGTCGATGACGCTCGGGACTACAACCTCTGTGTCGCGACAGGATCCGGAGGCTACGTCGCGTCAAGACGAGTCTTCCCAACTGAGGGATCGAACTAGGTATTCAGCAGACGCTCGCGCTCAGAGCGGAAGAAGGAAGGATCTTCGGGATGGAATTCTTTCCCTTTCTTCATTGGAAACAAGAGCTTTACGTGAGCGTGGAGCCTCGATACCGTCCAATGAAGAAGAAATGCCCGTGGATCCCCATAGGGGAATTTTCGATTATCGAGCAGCTGAACTATTATTCATTTCGGCAGGGTCGCGTCTCGATTCGTTGCCAGCTCTGTTGAATATTTTGCGTCCTCAGAGCGTTCTATCTCGGGAACGGACGAGGAGTCGTTCGGGAATGCCTCGCCACGATTTTCCTTCCGTTGTTGACTCCAGATCGCGACGTGATCGAAAAAGTCTGAGCGCGTTTCTTCGTGTCTGATCGACTGGAGCTTTTTGCTCCTAGCTTCGAAGTCAATTCGTTTGCGGGCCGGTCGGCAAGTCTCCTGAGATTACTGATAGGAACCATTGATTAGAAAAGCAGCCTGATTTTCGTGTGCGAACGTGGGCGTCTGTCTCTAATCTTACTTTCTGATCCAACGTGTCAGTCAGTCAGCCATCCAAGCGGTCGGTCGGTCGGTCGGCGGAGCAGCGCCCGTCTGCCCGAAGCCTCCGACTTCAACTTGGACGAAAAAGTCCTCCTGGTCGCCGAGCTGACTACGTTTTCCGCGATGCTCCAGGGAATCCAGTATCTGAGCGGAGCCAGAGAGAACTGACTCCAATACCCAGACATCCGATTACGCGGATGTTGGAACATTCTGAACGGCCCCCTCTCCTCTGATGAGTGAAACTTCCGTCTGTTTCCTGGCGAACTGACGTTCTCTAACGAATTCTGCTTCGGAGTCATCTCTATCTCGGCCCTCATTTTCGCTCCTCTCGCTATTCAGCTTTACGGCCAATGCAACGCGGCCTCTCGGTCTGCGAAATTTGATATTAGCTGTTTACCACAAACTGGAATGTCTCGGTGTGTGAAGGCGCCTCCCTGGCGTCTGCCTTCCTGCCGCCGGGTTATAGCCCGAGCGGCGTTCCCAATCCGACTTTGAGCGCGTGACTGGCGGCTCTGGATCCCTGAAAGGCAGGCAGAAAAAACGTTCAACGAAACTCTCGCCGCAGAAACCCTGCAACGTATGAGGGAATTCGCGCACGACTGCTCTTTGGGAGTCGCGGCACGGGGTATCATAAACGTCGCCGCAATATTCGCCCGAGAAAATATCTCGGCTCCGAACAATCGGGATCGCGGGAGTAGCTCTTGGCCCGATGGCACCGATTCCCACCCCGGCCCGGATGCGACCACAGCCCCGGAGTCTGACTGGCTCTGGAGATTGATTTCAAAGCGAATTTTCCAGCCGGAGACGCATCGGATCTACTCTCATCTCCGTCGAATATCGCGTATTCGTTTAGCGCTAACAAGCTTAGAAATTGTGGGACTGGCGGTCTAAGCGCGAGGTCGGAGGAACCGCTTGTAAAGCGCTGGGGGAGCGGTGGCGAGAACGAGAGCGACGAGAGAAAAAAAATGCAATTTCCAGCTGGCTTCCCGCACAGCGACTCTCGATCACAGGGACGCCTTCGAATGCGCGCGAGGGAGAAAACTTTACGAGTTCCCTCTCTTTGTAGAAATATCCGCGGAGGGAATAATTCACAGCCGAAATTCCTTCTAGGTCTCCATCCACTCTCGTCTGATGGACGGACTGTTAGACTCCCTGCCGAGTTAGGTAGTCCGCCGACTAGCAGTCGGTTAGCACTCACTCAGTCGACGCTATTGGTACTGTATGGACAGAAACATTCATCCGTCCCGCTGGCTGCGGACCGACCGACGGCCGGAGAGTACAGCTCAAACAGGGTTCAAGGAGAAGTAGTGGCCTGGTGCCGACGTAGGGGCGCCGCGGCGACCGGCCGACCCCGTACGGAATTACCCACGGCGAGCGCGTATGTGTACAAAAGTCTATTAAAAGTTCCACATCGGCGGTGGACTCTCGATTCAGTCTGCGCACCGTTCATGCTCTCACGTACGCAAATCGACTGTGAGGTAGCGGTTGCTCGCTCGCGTTCGGTGACGGCGAATTCTGGGTTGACGTAGCACTTCCTGTCGAGGCGCACTGATCATGAGCTCGGGCAGAATCTAACATGGCCGTCGGGCCTGATTATACGAGACATGCCAAGCTACATCCGCATGCTTCGTTGCATCGGGCTCCGCGGTCACTCTTCCCGACCAGGGCGGGGACATTGTTAAGAGCCGCGCCGATGCAGCTGACCTGCCCCGGGAGCAAGAAGGTTCCTCACGTGGGCGCCTCGAAGATGCGAGGCGAAGCTGGGCGGCTCCCCGAAGTCGAGTCTGTGAGTGCTGAGTCCATTTCATAAACTCGAGGGCATGACGTTGTTCGGGTCAGAGGACTCCTCCCCCCCCCAACGGCTACATTCCCAATGACGGGAACTCTCCCCTAAAACGGAATCGAAGCACCATACTCCAATTAAGTGTGAAAATCCGAGGAACGAAGCAAATTTCCAAGTCCAACAAAACCTCCGACTTTATTAGAAACTCCAATTCTGTCGGTTGTGTTGTACCGATTCTCAAGCATCACCAGCCTCGAGCTTCTTGAGGAAAGCCTTCTTCTTGTGTGCGACACGGCTCTTCCTCTGGGCACGAGTCATCGGCTGAGCGGTCCAAATCTTCTTCTCGACGGTCTTCTTCGGCTTCGGCTGGTGGGCGGGGTCCTTACGTATGGCTTGATGGGCCTTCTTGTAGAGACCTTCGATGTCATCAGCAGATACGCCGGCCTTGATGTAACGAGCGAACTGAGTCTTGTAGGCCTCCTCGTTCTCGTCGAGGAGCGAGCGCATGTACTCGGCGATGTGTTGGCCGTAGATGTGCTGCTTGTGAACGTCAGCGTGGAATTCCTTGCTCTCTGGATCGTAACCGGGGAAACGCTTGTTCGAGTGGGGGATGTTCAGTCCACCGTCGACGGCTCCCTTCATGGCGCCGAAGATACGCGCACCTGCGAACATAAGAATACGATTCTGAAGACTCCAACACAAAAAATTGATTGTAGGTGATTCATGATCGAATATTCGTGTTGTGGTGATTGTTCTCCACTATGGAGTGTGCGAAGCCATGGGGCTGGGCACAGATTGCGAAGAGGTTGTTGTTCCCTCATCAGCATCGCATCGCGTTCCATGAGAGGAACAAAATTCTAATGCCGGCAAGGGGAATAAGGAATGAATGAAATCGTCCAATTTTGCATGTCTCAATTCGGTGAGCCTAGCGCGTCTGTGGACAATCGCTTAGGATGAAACGAAAGACTGTCGATTTACGCTTCTCTCACAGGTCACTAATCCAGTAGCGGGGACGAGTGACTGATATAAAGAAGCAAACCGCCAAGAATGACGCGCCTCAGCAGTTCAGCCGAGAAACATTTCTCTACAATTTCGGGGAGGATGTCGTCCGCTACAGTAAGGCAGTGATCCATGAGTGGCCTCACTACCTGTTGCAAAGAAGACCATTCTATTCGCCTCAAAAAAACAGGGGAGCGGCTGATCACCAAAATCCCTGCTATGCTACGAGGCGACAGCCAAAAGCTCCAACTCTCAGTACGACGATCAAGGTGGAGAATCTCGTCACCAGGAACTCATATGAAGCTCTCGTCAGGCCTACGACACTTGAAGGACTTACCAGTCGAGGTTCTAGCGAGACCGACATCGAGGTAGCAACGGAACGCTCCGGGCTTGTCTTCAACGTCTTCGACTTCGTAGTCCTCGCCAGTGGCTTCTTCCAAACCCTTGTAGATGGAATCGAGTTTGAACTTCTGGAGAAGGCGACGGGCCAATAGGAGACCGGTGCAGTAAGCAGCGGCGTAGTTGGTCAGACCGAGCTTAATGCCGTAGCGGGGGAGCTCAGAAGAGTAGGCGGCGCAGATGATAACGTCACCTGATGGGAAAATTTCGTCAGAACCCGTTCTTTTCAGTTTTCTGAATTTCGATCCTCCAATAGTTTCGGAACAATAACATTGAGCCCCCTGATGTTGGAAGCATGTTCGAGCTCCAAACTAACCCTCCAGTCGAGCGTAGGCGATCTGGGTGATGATGTCGCGATTGGTGATGCGAACGATCAGCCGGTACTTGGGGGTGTTGTACTTGTTCTTGGCTTGGACGACCAAACGCTTCCGGGCGTAGTAGTCGGTCTTACCCTCACGCCTCCTCTTGAACTTGACCTGAAGTGAACGATATTCGGACTCATTCTATGTCCGTCGGATTTCTGCCACGGTGTCTTCCAGGATCCCCAGTAAGCATTGCTGACTGAAGGTCGGTCGATTATCCCAGCCCCCCTGCCCGTTCACTCCGCGATTGTCCCGACGACGTCACTTCTCAACACTGGGGTGGGGTTCGAATACATCTTGGGGGGTTTTGATCACGATTCGAGCTCATTCACGAGTCTCTTCGCCGTTGAGGAACACAGAAAGCGGTGCCATGCGGCCACACGTGGCCGGCAGGGGCCGCCGCAGAGAGAAGCTTTCGCTCACCTGGAACCTTTTGAAGTAGGCCTTGTTCTTCACAACTTTTACGAAAGCCATTTCGAGTGTCTTTCAACAACTCGTCGGAGACGTGGGGTAATCAGCACTTCGTGTTTCCACGGGGCTTCAGCTTACCACCCGACCGCTTGGATCAGGCCTCGTCGAGAAAAGAATCGCAGACGCCATGTCTCCGCCAAACATCCGAGTCGCCGCCAGAGGGCGTCATAGTCGCCGCGGGAAAGTTTCTCCTCGCATTGGCACACTTCTCCGGAGAATTGCAATTTTCATGTCGTGAAGCAATTCGAGCCCATAAGACCATACGCTGTGCTTCTCCTGAGTACGCGCGGATGGGAATCCGATTACCTCCACCCTGGTTTTAGCAGGACACCTGTGATTCAACGCGCCAAATTTAGAATTTTCGCATGAGCTTTCTGAGGGGCTTGCTTTGAGCTCACTCCTAGAGCTCTAGGAGTCCCATTTCCCGTCCATAGACCTGTGGGCTACCCTTGAAAGGATTCGATCAAGTTCTGCCATTTGATTCAGAGCTCCACATTATCGGAATGACGACGCCGACGCCTCTCCAACCTCTGACTTCTGAACGCTGGCTGAAGCACAGGATGGTCATCCCCAGCCTCCGCACCACCCCGTTGAACGTGAGAAGGAATAGGGTGTAAATTGAACTTTTTTTTTTTCAATAACTTACTTGATTTTATTGCATTCAAGTTTTCAACAATAAACAACGACAGCGTGATTTCACCCCGAATCTCGAAGCCCCCCATCGACCTCACAAAATCCGGATTAGCGATTAAGAAACTTTTAAAACTCGACACACTGCTGTCTCGTGCGCCGGCCGATCATAAACTTTGAAACGTAAAATCTTATTTTCACTTCTCGGGCCCCAGGGTCAACAAGTCTTTGTATTGAGTGAGTATGAATTCGGGCAGGTTTTTCAGGAGTGTTTCTCTATCAACACATTCCAGTTCGACGCTCGCGAAGTCCAAGAACGTCAGCAAATTGGCGAGGTCCGGGTCGACTTTCCCAGATACTGCAACCGGTAGGCAGGCTGACTTGACGTACGTACAAAGGACTTTGACGAAATCTTCGGTATAATCCGTATGGAATTGCGTCAGAAGCACGAACACCCCGTAAGTAAATGGCACGCAGTCGACGATTTGTTTGCTCTTCGCCACCAAACAGCCCACTGAACGGGAATAGGTGAACTTTGAAATGTTGGAAATTACGGACAGAGCGAGGAACATTGGCAGATTGGGAGACGAAGGATTCTGCACATAGATTTGTTTCAAAGGATCGTAGATGCCACAGAATCTCAAGTGACTAGAGAGCCGCTCGAGGTAATCGTTCTCGACTTGAGTCGTCCTCTCCGGCATGCGTAGAAGCGTCGCATCGTTCAACGCTCGAAGGGCGGCAGCGAGGTTTTTCCCATTGAATTTTGAGTTCTTCTTCAGCTCGTGGCTGATGTGACGTCTCAGGAGGACCAACTGTCCGATTTTCATTAGGGCTTGCGCGAGGCTGGGAAAGAGCTTCGTTACCTTAGTGACGAGAGGTGTCATAAGCTTGACATGCCCGTCCACGGTTGTTTTCTTCAGGCTTCCCGTCAAGACGCTCAGACTGTGGGACCATACCTGATCGTCTATGGTATGGATCAGAGTATTGGAGATATCTAAGAGGCTCTTTCGCATTCGGAAAGACAGTAAACGATCCAAACCTACCATTCCCACCGCCCCTAAAGCTTTCAGCATTGTTGCGAAGTCGGATAAAATCAATACCTTTGTGTGTAGAACCCTATCATACCACGTGAAGAGTGAGTCGACGTAAACTGTGACTGCGGGATCGGTCATTCGGATCAACTCGTTCGCGAGTCTTCCGATAAAGTTGGCTGCCGCTGTATCTATTGGTGCGTATTTGGGGATGGGAACTTTCTTCGATTGATAATCCGATTCCCAGTCCTGAATTTGTTGCCTCAAGTACACATTGCACTCTTGTTCGACGTTGTAATTCACGATCCGAGAGAACTCTTCCTGGAACATCTTGAGTCCCCTTATACCGATATAATCCTGAACGTATTCGAAAGACCTGTGATAGCCGCTGACCACCTGCGATAGTTTGCTTAATTTCTCGAGCATCTCGCCCGGTTTCGGTTTCGCCGAAAAGATGAGTCCGCCATGCAAGGAAAGGCTGAGTTGATTGACGAGCTCTTTACGAATACCGTCCTCGAGAAGTTGCCGTGGATCGATTTCCACTATGCCGACGAGCGTCGTCTTCATCTCCAGAACCCCGTCGGTGAAAACGCTGATGTCGTGAGTCAACTTGGCGACTTCCGCGCGCTCCTCCAACTGCGCATATTCTTTGAGTTGATCTTTCATCAGGCGGGTTGGCAGCTGTTTGATGTTGTTCGTTTGTAATTGGATGATTCTTGCGAGTAGGGTGAACATCGTCTCCGGGATTATGTGAAGAACGCGCCGAATGTAGCCGATGAGCTCATTTGAGTAGAAGGCAGATACGGCCTCCATATCTGTAAGAGATTGCGATTACTACTGTCGGAATTCACGCGCGAAAAACATGAGCCTGCATCATTGGATTTTCAATGATATTGAAACGGACTTGAGCTACGGGAGCGAACCTTTTGACGACGCTTGAATGATCCGAAGCAGGGGCAGATCGAGAGCGGTCGCGAGTTTCAGAAAAGTGGCTCTCAATTTCACGACCATTTTCGGATTCCGCTTGATACCCCCTTGCATCTGCGCCGTGTACGCATCGACCAGGAGCCATGCGTAAGATACGTCGGCGATGACGTCCAGATGTGCCAGGAGCTCGGTCTTGATGGAGAGGAGTCGCAGCATTTTGTGCAGCTGCTGACGACTTTCCTGCACGCATTGCCGGATATGAGCATGTCCTGGAGGTATATTTGTTGGTAGAATGGGTTTTATACAATTTTTTTGGAGCTTTTCCTCTCGGGGCGTCTCGCGGAGTTTTTGCACGGAAAAAAGTCACCTTTCGTATGGGGAAAAACGGGGAAAGCTCTCATACCTTCAATTTGGTGGAACCCTTGAACTTGATCGAGTGCGTTGATCAGCGGCACAATACGTCTTCCGACGGCGACCGGATCTTCTTGCGATAGCGAGTCTACCTGCTTGGAGATATCGTCGAACCACTTCTGCAAGCGCTCGATCTTTTCGACTCTGTACAGAGGTCTCTCTCCGGAATAAGCTTCAGACAGCTCGCGTAATCGCTCGGTGCATTCTTTCTTGAGATAATCCCATTTGTCTTGTTTGTGCTTGAGTAGTTGCTGCAGGACTTCCTTGAATTTGTGTTCGAACTCGGCAGTGTGGAGTAACAGGCTAAACAGAGCTTGAGGGTTGTGCTTTTGTAAAACTATGTCTCTCATCTGTTTGGCTCTCTTGGAAAATAATTCCGGCGTTCTCGCAGTGTGCAACATCAACCACCGCAGCGTGAAGTTGCAGTCCCGGGCGAACGAGAAAAGTTTCTGTAGTTTCTCGAGCACCATGCTTTCGGTGAGGACACCTTCCTTGAGAATATCATCCACTTGAGGGATGAGTTTCTCAACTTTGGCGTGCATTTCATCGCAACGAATCTGCACGCTTCTCGTATCTTGGACGTTTTGAAGGGCAGATTTAGCCGCTTTATAGGGTTCCCACGAATCGATGAGGTTGACCACGTTTCCCATGTAAGTAGCGATCACCCAATTATCGGCGAAATATTTGTCGACGACCTCTCGCATCACCGCCGTTTCGTGGTGCAGAATTTTCGAATCGAAAAACAAGGCGACATAAATGAGCGCCGCTTGATTGGCCAGCGCAACGCTGCGGTGGATTGGTTGCGGATACAGCGGAAGCTGATTGTAGAAGTCGTCCGATCTGAGGCGACCAATCAGCATAGAGACGAATTCGGAGTTTATCCCGACCCGCTTGAAGTACTCCTCTGGATAACTTGGGGGTCTCGTTTTCCTCGCAACGTACCCCGTTGATCGGAAAAGTGTGCAGACGTCGTCAACGTTGGAGACTAGATTGGATCGCTGCGCTGAATAGCGGTAGTAAAGGACGAGAATCTTCTCCCGCAAGGAGCCTTCAAATTTCTCGTCAATATACAGAAGCATTATTCCGCAAATGTACAAAGCTTCGGCTAAAAGCTGCTTGCCATCAATATTGTTCAGAACCGACTCGAGGCTCTGCTGAATGAAAACTCCTTCCTCTAGCTCAGCGAGAAAATGATTCAACTCCACCGTGAACTGATGCACACACTCGAAGACCAAATAGAATTTTGATAACAAATTCAGATGGGTCTCTTTGAAAACTTCGTCCATGTCTTGGAGCCGCGTATCATTGTCGAGTTTCTTTTCGAATGTTTCGATACCCTTGAAGTAACTGAAGTCCAAAACGATTTCCGAATATCGGTCATGACTCAGCTGAGGCGGTATCATGGACGAGAGTCTCGTCAGTTCGGCCAGGATGGCATTGCCTTGCGAGACGATGTGCAGGAGCGTTTGTCCGCAGGTGTTGTTTTCGGCGAGGAAGTCCATCTGGAATCAAAAACAAACACGATGATTGCCCCACATCGACTGTTAGCTCTCGAGGACATGGATGTTCCTTGCTCCCTGGGTCGTGGATCCCGAGGGGATACGCTGCAGGTTTCTGTCACGCCCCTAAGCAGGCTTTCGTGGTCAGGTCTATTTCCAGGATTCGAACGAATAGGTGAGGCATGTCCGGTCCACGTGTATTGTTTTTCCCCCAAATTCTACGACGACTCTCCCACGATTCGTAAATCGAATATCAAAATACGTTTCGTTCGCGATTAGTCAGATTTCCCACCGAGTCGGCTTTCAATTTCCCTTACGTATCACACGGAGAGCGCGAAACTCGGCCATCAGGATGGACTTCGCGAGCTCAACATTCGGTGTACGTTTCAGGTCGCGCCTCAGAAGAAGATTTCCGGCGCGGTTCCGGAAATCCTCCCATCTGATTCGAACGTCGATTCTGACAGCCGAGCTCCAGAATTTTCCGCTCACCTTTTCTCTCGAATCCCGGAATCCAGTCTTTTCTGTCTTTGGGAACAGCAAGTATCCGAACGGGATCTGTGAGTTTGAGTTCACGATCACATGATCCAGAAGGAAGTACTGTCTCTTTTCTACCTGTGTCACACCCAGCCAGTGGCGGTGTCAATTATTTGTTTTTGAAACAGCCGCTGACACGATTGCCGACTGCCGACATAGAAGCGCGCATAGAAGCTTCGACCGTAAACGTCGTCTCTCACTCCTCCGCCGAAGTTGGTACTCGATGTCTCGAACGCCTTCACTCGAACGTCTAGCGCTCTGACTCATGGGTTTGAAACCAGCAAATGAAGCCACTGGGCAAATAAGCTCAAGTCGAAAACAAAAGATCGGTCAATTGGAATTATCGGAGAGCGGGCTCCTGCTCGGTTGAGGGAGACACTTGACACGGTACAACGAGATCTTTCGGCAAGTATTGTACATCTGTCAGATACAGCCTCGATCCTCGGGAACTCTCTTTCTCTCGGAGGTACCATTCTGAAACTGACAGTCAGGCCTTGATTCCGTTGATGCGGCTCTACGGGCCGTAGTTTTCTCACTCCGTTGAGGGTCTGGGTGCGATGAAGATAATTTTTCTCTCCTCTGTTGGGGTACAACACTGCGAAGCAAAATCGTAATCATGATTATTCGAGTTCCTGGATTCCGGACATTTTCATTTTCCAACTCTCGAATAAGGATAGACCCGATCACGGCGTTCTCATTCTAGCGTTCCCCACGTCGCACAGTGGTTCAGAATTGACTATAAGTGGAAACAACTGAAAGCTTCAGAACTTCCGGGAGAATCGCCCTCAAAACTCGGTTGGAAGAAGCGCCCGACCTGGACTGACCGATTCGGCCCCCATCGGCCAGATCGGACGACTCCAAGATGTCTCCCCAGCAAAATGGCAACATCGAGGAAATATCCCGTCCGTTTGGGCCCGCTATTAGGAGAAGAAAAAAATGAAGTTTCGATATAAGTAATTTCCGAGGATTTCCGCGACTGATAGATTGAGCTTCTAAAAGCTGCTTGCGGCTCTTGATCTGTGCTTATCGAGCCTCTCGGGACATCTCATGTTCCCATCTCATCTCAGCACCGATTACTCCCTAGGATCCACTGGCAGGGCTGCGATATTGTCACACAATTCGAGAGACTTTCTCTTGGGTTTCACGCGCAGAGTTTCTATGTACGGATCCGCCGAGACAAGCAACATATGCATAAAATCTTGATTCCTGAGCTCTCTTCCGACCTTTTGCTTCTTCTCTTCGCGTGTTTTCTTCCTTGATGAATTTGTCCTCCATTTCTGGAAATCCAAATTGTTCGATATATGCAGGAGGCACTCCATGCTCTTTATACGCGCATGGAGCGGGGATTCGCTCCACAAATATAGCACGTGGACATTCCTGGCGCTGCATTCATGACATGAGCGACCTTACCGTCTATCATGGTTAGATGAAGAGAGTGTCTCACTCGGAACTCTTTTCCGGCTTTCTCTATTATCGACGGTCCCAGAGCTCGAATCTCTTTCCGAGTCTCCTCCACTTCCGAGATAGACCACGGCACCGTACCACGGTCTACGAAAATCCGCCGTAGTACGGGGCTACGGATCCACGGAATCGACCGTAGTTCGGCACTACGGGCTTCGAAGGAATGTCGAAATACGGCACTACGACGATCGGCCGTAATACGGCGCTACGGACTACGGTGTACGGTTCCGTAGTTTTCTACGGCGCCTTTATGAGCCGCCGCCGTAGATCTCTACGGCGCTACGGAATACTGATGTACATTTATACGTCTGATACGGCATCAGGGGCCGGGCTGCGGCTACTAAAACATACAGCTCAAGCTCCCTCGTCCCGCTCCTCTCATCCTTGACGGTCCTGAGCTCGTGCTGTAGGAAGCTTGTCTGAACAGACAATCCCACATCGCTTGTTCGTAGATCTGACCTCGAGACTCAAAACGATCTTGGACGCCGATTATCGAAGCACAGGCTTTGAATGCGAGCGGCGGTGTCGAATTACACTCGGTGTGTGGCGCGATCGATCCAGCGCAAGTAAGTGGAAGCTCCAATTCGCGCCCCGAGACTTACAGTCACACACAAAGCACGCAGGCATATCCTGATGTTGCTCAAGGGTCCCTCCAAGTAGCATTCGATCCGACGTCTTGAATTTTATTGATCATTGAGATCGACTCGGATCGGGTTCCTCCGGATTTCCTTCATACCGCACTTCTTCGTCAAGTCGTGCTCTCTACCTAATTGAGTCCATGGCTGACTGCTTAGGTATACATCTTTCAGCAAGAGAACATCACCGAAGCGGGTAAATGATTGACTCTCCTGACAATACAGCCGTGCATGGCGCGCCCGGCTAAAAAGCCACTTCACACTACTCGACCTCTCCGTGGCTTGAACGCCCTTAGGGTAACACTGTTTTTTGGCTTCCACAACTTTGTGATACGAGGGAAGAGGGTCGATACCGAGAGTCTCCAATGACAACCGCAGATTGAAATACTGTTGCTTCGATTATCCGCAGTCGACAATGAGAGCTAAAGCTGCAGCGGGGCTGACTTTGGAGCTAGGCTTAGAGACTTAGGGTGCTCCTGTGGACTTCATCGCCGCAGCTTGTATCAAGGAGACGGAATGCGTTCTGAGGAAGTGATTCACCTTGTACGTCTTAGCTTCGGCACCGCAATCTTCGAAGACCTTCTGCGGTCTGCCTCCGCTAGCTCGACGCTCGGTTGCAGGCTTATGATCACGAATCGGAGGGGTCGGAATGTCGACTGTGAGCACAGGATCCGGAACGCTTATGGACTTTTTCGACTGAAACCAGAGTTGATGCTTGCTTCGTAAAATGTCCATCTTGTAGTGGCACTTTCTATATCTTTCGGAGAAATGGGGAAGGGAGATCTTGCTGAGAAAATTCCGGAGTTTTTCCATAGCCCGCTCGTCAAGCTAGGAGGATATCGTCGAGACAACTCTCGCGTGCAAGAATCCAGACATCTCCTGCAGCTCTGAGCCACGTTCGCGATTTCCTCGGAAGTCAAGTCGATTTGCACCATGCTTAGCCTCTTACTGATTCCTCCACGACGATAGCTGCTCTCGGCGGAAAGATTGGAGCTTCACCAAATCACGATCAATTTCTCCGCGGAATACTCGCTCGTTCGGAAGACAGCTCACGAGTGGCCGGAGTGTGAGCTTTTGCTGGACCACGAAATGTCTCTGAATGTCAGATGTTTCTGGAGTCGGATGACATCAGATGTTCTTCGTTCGATTGATATTTCACTTTGTTTGGAATGGTTCGTGGAGTTGTAGGATGATATCCAGATGTGCAAAGTGGCTCGATGAGCACAGATCCAGAGCCGCAAGCAGCTTTTAGAAGCGTCGCAGAAATCATCGGAAATTACTTATATCGAAATCCATTTTTTTTTCTCCTGATAGCGGGCCCAAATGGTCGGGATTTTTCGTCGATGTTGCAGGCCAGGGTCTGGAATGCCAGAACCGATCAGTGGTCTCCCAGAGGACAGCGGAGGAGGATGTCCTTCCTCGACATGAAAAATCAATTCTAATTTTGATTCAATATTGCAACTTGAGGGGGTGACTAAAGGCAGGAAAACCGTTGTTTAGGTTCTAGAGGAACTCTCCGATCAGGAATGGAGGCGATCCGATCGAGCGGTGGTATGCCGCGGGGCATGAAGCGACGCTGCCTATGAGCCTAATCTCTCTCGGCCGGTACGATGCTCCACAAAAATGAGTGAAAGGAGAGTTAGCATAGCTAGTCGAAGTTTCATTTTACAGCAAGATTGTACATCTATCCATACGACGAGGCCCATCCTCCAGTAGTCCGAGGCTCAAAAAATCCATGCTTCTGATGAGGGCCTGCGAAGTCCCCGGACCTCAGCATCATCGACTAACAGGGAGCTTTTGCCGCAAGGCTAGTTGACGATCGGAAGCGGTTTGAGTGCAGCAGGGTAGAGCTTCGAGCAGCGATCCTTGCGGCTTGAAGCTCGATCGGGTCACACGGGATCGAACCCTTCTTTGTCTCGCTCCCTGTCAATCTTCGCTCTCTTCGAGATCCTCGTCGCGCTTCTTACAGAAGAAGCATGGTATGATCAGGCACAGCATTCTGACGATGAGCTGTCGAAGGAGAAAAATTAGCGATGTACCATATATGCTTTTCGATACGGGGATCTCCGGCTGATAATGCCCGTCCTCAACTTGACAAGGATAATCCGTAAGCATAGACAACGATTGACTCGCGCTGGGCGTAGTTCGTCCTTCGATCTTGATGCTCACCCATGAAGCGTTTATACCGAGCATACAGTAGGCGAGTAGTCTGTCTCCAAAGAGGTCGTGTACGAACCCAGTCATCAGACAAGCTCCGCAAGCGCTGGGGGAATGAGGGTACGCTCTTATTCTGGTCAGAAACGTCTACGTATCTGGGTGTTTCTTCGTCTCTAGCCGCAAAAGCCCTCTTTCGATCAATAGTCGTTGTGAGCTAGTGACTAGAGATGATTTGATCCTCAGTCGGAAGGAGACGCCCGCTTATACCGCGAAGGTCTCCAGTGAGTCACGTCATCAAGGGCATGAGACTTGGATGGGAGAGAATGCTCGAAATGTCTCGTTATTCGAGATGAGGCTGTTCTGAATTTCCGGGGGAACTGGAGGTTTGCCAGCTGAATTCCGAGAAATACCTATTCATCGAAACATAGCAGCCGCCAGGCCTGGATCTTACAGAGTTGAGGAGAGGAAAACAATCGATGCTGATAAGGTGCTCATCGTCCAGATGGTCCTGGCGGAGCCACTTTCACTGCAAGACAAGAATTTTTAATCGAAGGCGAGCAACCAGAACGATTGCCCGGGTGCGGCGAGGGGAATTATGCATCTCTTGGCACGGATCGCTAGAAATCGACGAATATGTAACCGGATTTCGAACTTGCTCGAGTACCCACATGCTGTCTCTCACAAGCTTCCGCATCATCGGTATAGTTTGGCCAGCTGCCGCGAAACCGATCAAAGCCACCGACCCGAACTCCAACATACGATACCTGTAAGGGATGCGATTTCGCTGCCATGAATCATTTCGATTGATAGATTGGACGGTTAATTGACTGACCGACTGACTGACTGACTGACGGACGGACCGGGTGATCGATCGATGAGGAAATGACTGACTAGCGAATCTTGGGACTCACTCGTTTTTCCCGTCTATTGGATAGCCCAGGATCTGTTCCAGCACTGGGGTACCGATGATGAATCCTGTTGTTGCACAAACCTGTGCCAAGAAGGCGCTGAATGACTCCGTGTGCTGAAAATTCAGGCATGAAGACGTAATGATCGAAGCTCCCGCACGGAGACGAAACAAAGGAAAATTCAAGCGCATACCCATGTGAGGCCGATCGTGCCGAATATCAGGATCCCAATGGAATAAAAAGCGAAGAAACCAGCGAATAGGTAAGTGGTGCGGAACAAGTCCGAGAGGCCCTCAAGCTGTGAAGGGGAGAACGTTGGCTTGAGTCACTGAAATTTCCTCGTTCGTTTGGAATTTCACCCCCATATCGTCGTCTCCAAGGCGTCCAGCAAAGCCGGCGTCTACCAAGAATTGAGCTCTTGCGGCCGAACCTTCCCAACGTTTCGATAGAGGTTGACTTCGAGATAGGCGTAACTGATTCCGGCACAAGCAATTGTCAGCATGTCGATGAGGAGAGGAATGCCACAAAGCAGACGGCATGTGTTCCGAGAAGTCACCGTACTCCGCTTGCTCGGAATTCCTGTGTAAAGAGAGCAATTTTCGAGTATCCATTAATCGTCCCGGCGCATAATCTCCGCATCAAATTCGACTCGAGGAACAAGAAAATTATTCAATTACCCCGATCCGGGCTCACTGTGCACGCGAAAAGTGAGCCGAAGGCTAGACATCCACCAATGATGAAGAACGGCATGGCTTTGCATTGCTGTCGAGATTAGAAAACGGAATCGTCGCTATCTCTCGGGTCAGAACACCGGACCACGATGTCATATTCGATTGGGTAGTTTTCAGTTCCGATTCATATCAGATCGAACTCACTTGAAAAACGTAGTAGGCCGCAACGAGACAGCAACTTCCTCCTAATCCAATCATGAACTCGAAGAGGCACTGGAAGATCGAGCAAAGGACTACCGTGAGACTTTCGCTCCGCAAATTACGGCAACTCCCGATTGTGGTTGAAGGCAAACGCCGTCTCTAATTCTAATCAGAAAATATCCTATCAGCGAATCGATCAGCAGTTCCGGTGCGCCTCATAAGCGGATCATGTAGAGAAAGCTCCGGAACAGAAATTTATGGGGCGCCTCTTCCGTGTTGCTCGATGCGCCGTTATTTCATAATCACTGTCTCGGCCGTCGCTGATTGCCTCTTGCGTCGAGGATTTCCTTGGGTGCTCAAAATTCTTCCGACCGCGGCTCACCGCCTGACCAAGCGATGGACCCACTGCTCGGCTGACTTTCTGGCCGTCCAAGCCGCGCGCCGGCAGGCTGGCACTCGGTATGAACGCCTTTCGGTATCTTCTCAAGTGAGCGACAGCGCGAAGTTCACGCTGAATCCGGCGGCTCATTCGGTTACCCCCGAGTGACCGACATCGTTTATCATCGATTCTCAGGGCGGCTGTCGACGAGGCTCGATACGAGCGTTTTCCACACTCCAGGACACCCGGAGTAAGGAACGCGCTCAGGCTCCGGATAAAATTCAATTTGCTGGACGGTGAGCGTTGTCTGCGAACGACTCGGCACGAAAGTTTCTTTCGCAAGCGTAGCCGCCTCCCGAAAGTTTCGACGTCGGTCGCTGCCGGAATTCGTCGTTGTTTCTCGAAGCACGCCGCCGCAGTCGCGCGGGTGGGTGGCACCAGGAGCCAGAGCTGCCGATCTCGTGACGGGACGCTTCAGCATGCGATCGGGCTGAGCTCACCGTTGCGAGGATTCCAATCAGAAGCAGCTATTTCTTGGATTGCTATATCAAGTTCCTTGCTTTGTTTCGCAACTTCCGATCGCGCCCACAAGTGAAAACGGAATTCCTATGGATTTTTCTTCGCTTACTATGTACAGCTGGAATTTCTTCGCGTAGTGGTAGAATAGAATCGTCAACGAGAACACCAAGAAAAACGAATGACTGAATCCCGCCATTCCGTACAGTGCACTCGCGGCACCCATGTATTCCATGGTATGGGTTTCTCTGAGATAGAACAGCCCTCTGGAATGGAGATGTGGTCTTGATAGCCGGAAATTGTTCTTCCTTTGATTGTTCTTAATCACTTTCCAGCTCGAAGGCGAATGCAATTCTCTTTACCCGTAAGCAGCGTAAGATGCGCCCGCAAGAAAAGTGGCCGACTTGAGCATTGCTGCTCCGTTGGAAGCGTTTATCTGCGAAGTTCCCCGTTAGAGCTTCACTTAGAAGGAAAAATCCACGGAAGAAGGGTATCGGTGGTGAAAATCGAGTGGATATCAGGGAATCGGGCCAAGGGAACGGGAAGGCTCCGAAAAAAGATCCGAATAATTCCCCGGGGATTTTTGAAATTCGGATACTTAGATAGATAGACGATGAATTATTACAGATAATCATAAAGAGATAATAAATTATCATGGATGATCATAGATAGATAATGATAGATTATTAGGAGAAATTATAATAGATTCTATGATGATACATGGGAGGGAATCATGATCCAGATCAGAATAGTCCTCTCACCACACAGTAGGCAAGGAGAGCTCCGATGGCAGTCGCACCCCGGTTTATGGCGAAAATAATTGACATGTCTATCATCTCGAGGGAATACTTATCGTACGCCTGGAATCAGAAAACTGAGCAAGTGGTTCGACGATGCCGCTCGAAGCAATGACCATGATTCAAAATTGCCCCAATGTCGGATATGCGATTTCCCAAGAACAAGTATTCGGTTGGCCTGCCTACCAGATACGGAATATAGGGACCCATGAGCGACTGACAGCCGGCCGAGAAGGCGGCGCACCACAGCAAGGGGAAAATCCATGCGTGGAATCTCGCTTCCGGGGGCTTGAGCTCGTTGCCCTCGGCCAAGGAGAAGGATCCAACTCTGTGAGAAGCTTCTTCCTCGTCGATCGACAAGAACGTGCGATGTCCATTCCAAGAGGGTGGCCGATAATCGTTTTTCCTGAAGCGCACATAAAGTCGACGTTTAGCATAGCCGGAAGCACGGAGACAAAACAAATAATTGAGGGATCCGATTTTCACCATGAAATTCACTTCAATGAAATGCCTCAACGGTTAAATACGAAGGTCGAGCCAGGTTGAAACTCGCGAGTGCAACGAGGCCATACCACACATTCTCTGACATCGGTCTTTCGCGTGATCTTCTGTTTCCATTGAAGCGTTCCCTAGTTAACACAATCACAGATCGACCTCTTCAGGAACCCCATATAGACTTGATGTGGAAGCAAAGCTCATTATACGCGTCAGCGATGCCCTCCTTCCACGGCTTGAGAGCTCCGTAAGCTTCCGAGCGAAATTCGCTTCTGTTTCGACTCCATAATATTATCAACCAAAAACAATACAGATTTCTTCCTCGGCCTCTGTCTTCGGATTTTTCTGTCTGTCTCGTGATCTCATTAATTGACGATGGAGCCTCCGCCGGTGTGCCGTCAAAAATCAGAAACCGCGTCCGAGAGGTATCGCAGGGTATCGATGTCTCTGTACTAGCCCGGAGTTGTCTCTCTGGATTCTTAGGACGATGTAGGTATAGTTCTACTCACATCGCACCATTCGTATCCGTAAGAACGGTCATACTGGATCACAACGAGGATCGATATCACAGATTGGCGATGAGCACTGACGGTATACTCGGCACCCTTTCTTTGCGCAGACCGCAGTCAGCGATCGGTGATTTCCGGCTCAACAGAAAGGTGCCGACGCAAACCAATACATCTGTAAGCTGTTGTGGAGTGAGTGCCTACTTTGACTAGGAATTTTTCTGATCAGTTCCAGAGCGTCAGCGGGCGACGCAGCCCATCGCCACCGGTCCTATGACGATGTTCTCACATGACCAACTCGGAACGTGGCTCACCGTAGATCGGCGGAACTACGCACCTGTGTAGCCAGACTAGGTGTTTTTCGCAAACAGATGAACTTTCTCGAACTCTCAAGTTGAACTCGACACGTCGTCTGTTCGTCCCCAATGTTTCGGTCCAGATCTTTCCGCTTGAGCTGTCACAACTTCGGCAACCGGAGGAAGAAGTTCGGACCGTCACGGAAGACCTTGGTCGTCGTATTCTATTTGCGTTGCAATGGATGTCAAGGACCAGGAGCGTTGCCGCAGGTGTCAACCGGCTGTGGTCATCAGCTGTTGATCGGAATGATTGTCGGTTTCGGAATTTTCCTCAAAACACAATCCGCGGACCCATCGGATTCTATCTCCGAAAACTCGACGGAAAGGCTAGGATGGTCTCGGTCTGAGGCCGGCTGGGAAAAGGTGGCGTGATATCACAGAGGCTCGGTTTTCAAGTTCGCATATCCCCCCTATAATAAAAGCGCAATGTCTGCCTGTCTGTCAGTTCGCACCTTATCTACTGCTTCGCGCCATGATTCCCGTCAGATTACGCGCGCGATCGATACGGAACTCCTTCGTCCTTTGCCCATGTGAATTTCCCACCATTCCTGCGGGCCGTTCCTCGGAAAAACGCACAAAACTCCAAGTTTTCACAGTCACATGACGTCATTCAAGATGGCGGAGAACCGCCGCACTCTCGGAGAACACACACGACGGAGTCCGTCGCGGACGTCTGAGCTTTGGCATGAACCAATCCGGAAACTCTTCAACACTCCTGAACACTCTCGAACAGCGTAAATTTGAGAAGCCCGCCTTGAGCCGTACACAGGGTGCTAACTGACAGACAGGCAGACATTGCGCTTTTATTATAGGGGGGGGATTTTTCATTTACTCATGCCGAGATTTCGGCGTTCCTGACGAGGTCAGCGTTCTCGACCTGAACAAGCGGCGGAGCGGATGCGTCGGCAGCGGGCTAATCGAACTCAGGCAGAAGTCGCCCACTCGCGGGCATTGAATTTGGTCCAACAACGGCGACTCCGGGCTGATCGTTGTCAAGTTCGAGCGGAAAACGTACGTGCCGCTGATTCCGCGCGACACCGTAGACTCCGATCGCAGGAGTCTCTACCACAGATAGAAGACTCACGCGATCGAGATGCTACGCAGCAATCCGCAACGCGTTCCAACATGGCGCAGTCAGAACTTGACTTGAGGAGTGCCGAAGACGCAGCGTATCGCAGTGGGGTCCGGGCTTTACAGACCGGTCGCAATCTCCGTACTTCAGTAGGCATAGCTCGCGATTATCAGAGGCGTCCCTCGGGCGCTCATCATCTAGGAACATGGATGACTCTTGCACGTATGCGGAGCTG